GGGGGGGTACCACATATATATATATATATTCATATATACATACATATACATACATACCTGTAATGGTCCGTATATTCACTCCCCAGCTCTCCCTCAAACACCCGTGAGTCAACTCCCAGCTTGCGCCTGTGAAGGACTTCCCGAAGATGGCTCCGCAGTCTGCCTGGCACTCGCAACAACAAAACCCTAAAAAATACAACCTTAAACCTTGGGTCATTCCCCCTTACAGTGACAGTTACCACAAGGGGTAGTAGGAATTATAATAGGCCCTTAACAAGGCCCCTTCCAGGACAGTTACTGGGTGGGGGAATGACCCAACTTAAACTTCTAAAACCTGAAACCCTATCCCAACAATCCCAAACCCCAAAACCTTGAACCTCTAAACCCTACCCCTCTACATTCCAAAAACCCTAGGCCCCCAAGCCCTAAGTCCCTATACCCTCGCGATCTGCCTGGCTCTTGCCAGTTGCTTCAAAGCCTACCGCGCTGCTCGGGGTAAAGGCACACCTGGGTGGCCGAAGGGCTTTAGAAGACAGGTGATAATATGGGTGGTTGTCCAAATTATGGTCCTTGTTTGGATCCCTCGTTTAATACGGCACCTAATATTTAGGGTACCCAAAAAGGGACCATATTTTTGACGGGGGGCATATGTTTTGAGGTGACTGACAAATCTATTCAACAGTCATGTGTGATGGACTTCTTCATTAACTGACATTTGTGTTGTCTTATCTTCGTCTCTGGTCTTGGCAACAGTGCAGGCGGTGTACGGACTTTTATGCATCCGACTGACTGCTGTGTTCGGATTTCTGATCGTGATTTCAGGCTTTGCTGTACTTGGCCCATGTGATTGGACCTCGCTTGACTCTGTAGCGAAATGGCCCTACGGCTTGCACGCGTCTCAGAAACCACAGGTGGATCTTCTTGTAATGGATGAGGTTGGGATCGTGCACCCTGTGCAGGTGTTCTGCGTTTTTGAGGTCGCGTTTGCTCGTCAGGACTTGGATCTTGCAAATGTCGGCCCATCCCGTAATCACGCCCTTCTTGCCAAGCCGGGCACCGCTTTGTTTGGCTGCTGTCCCTCGTAGTTCTGCCACTTTGCTGCCTTGGAGTGTCATGTCCAACCGCCATTGCTGAGTTGCAGAATCCTGTCTTGCTTCTGTGGGCCGCCGTTCGGTGAGGACACAACACGCCCGGCGGTCTTCTTTTCGGCTTTTCCCATGGCGCCGTCGAACTTGTGCGATGGATGTGGACTATGCATTTGAGCTGAGTGCTTCAGCGCGGGAACATGAAACAGGACAGGAATCGGCTCGCGTGGGGAGCATAAATGTCTACTTAACTTGCATCAGGGTTTTGCAACAAGGAGAAGCGCACTGGCTTTGCACGCGGCTGGCACAACTCAGTGCCGTGCGTGAGACCCCGCGCCCTGGCTCGATTTAACGGGCTAAAGTGCCCTTTCAGGTGGCAGCTTCTGGAAGGTAGGAACCGGACTCCGCTGCAGCCTGCCTGCTTTGAGGGGGTGCTTCCACACGAAACCCCGGTTCAATTAGTCAAGGAAGCTTTGTGTTCCCAAGTCACTCATTGGGATGCAGCCTTTGATCCTCAGCCAGGTTTCACTTTTGTCTGGGTGAGACTCAGCTAGCCCTGCCAGATCAGGTCCAACCTTGGTCGATGAGTTCGCACGCTAACTCAGTCGAACCACACTACGCAGGCTGAGGTGTGAACGGCGCGTGACATGTTATTGGTGCGGTTCTCAAGGTCCTGAAAAACATGTTCACAGCACCCAAAACACATGTTTCCCTGCGCGCAGCCCGTCCTCTTCCCAACAGGCATGATCCGTGGCCGGTTCCCACCACCATGTGCATCCTGTGGCTTCATCTTGAAATCCTGCAGCGGTGCCAACTTTAGACTTACATCCTTGCTTGGTTCCTAGTTGGGACTTGGACGCTGCCGGCCATTGCGTGCCAGGACTTCTTTCTTCAGCGGAAGCTCGCGGATCTGGCATGCGGGCCGCGCAGGTCTTTGGTGTTCTGATGGGTTCAAGGCTTCCAACATAATCAAACGAGGATGGGTTTCCCTAACGCGCCTGGACCTTGTAGTAGATGTCCCACCAAAGCCCTTCTACGCGCCACGTCGCCAGCACACCGCCTCTAGCAATACAACACAAACTGGAACGCGATCACATTGAAATGCTGATCCTCAGCCGCACACCCCTTTCAATCGGAGAAGTTCCTGAAATGGCAATGCGTGATTGGCTTTGCAGAAAATTGGGGACGCTCAGGTAACGGCTTTTCCACTCCTTCAGCCTGCCAGTGATCTGAACTTACAGGGTCGCATACAACCAGTTGTTGAGCTCCCACCTGCTTGGTGACAAGAAGATCTCCATAACATCGGCTGCGTTTACCATGGGCCTGTTCAGATGCTGGCTTCTTTGTGCTCGTGCTAGAAAGCCTTGCAGAAATATCTGTGCCTGGGCAAAGACGCCTGCGTCGACGGGAAGGGTGAAGGAATGCTTGAGAAGTACGGCCACTGCACGCTCGGCTTGTCAGGTTTACATGTGTGTCGAACAGTCTTTCTTGCAAATGAGGTTGCGAGTGCGTTTCCAGACATGTCTGCTTGGAAAAAACTACTACAAGTACTCGTACTTCTACTACTACTGTTTCCACTACTGCTAATACTGCTAGTGCTGCTGCCTATACTGCTACGGTCGTGGCCACTGTTGCTGCTCCTACTTCTACTTCTACTACTGCTATTCCTGTTGCTTCTATTAGACTACTTTTACCATTACCAGTACTGTTACTGCTAGTACTATTATTATTGCTACTGCTA